ATATTATACCTTGTAAATACCCAGAATATCAAGACAAAATATGTTCAGAGATAGCTGATGTTATTGGATTTGAAAACAGACCAGATTTTGCTGATAGAGCAAGAATGCCATTTACAATGGCATTTATTCATGAAGTTCAGCGGATTGAATCAATCATTGCAAATAATTTACTCAGAAGAGCATCTGAAGATACCAAAATTGGTAATCACTTCATACCTAAAGATACGTTGGTGATGTTCAACTTCTGGTCAGTTAATCATGATCCTAATTTATGGCCTAATCCAGATAAATTTGATCCAACGCGTTACCTTACTGAAGATGGTTCTAAAGCAGTAAAACCACCTTATCTCATACCTTTCAGTGCCGGTAAAAGGAACTGTCCAGGTGAAGGTTTAGCCTACGTGGAATTATTTTTATATTTAGTTTGTATGGTACAAAGATATCGTATCAAAGTCGAACCAGGAACTGAATTATCTTTTGAAGCAGTTTTCGGAATTTCAAGGCGTCCAGCTAACCTTCCGCTTTTCATTTTTGAAAAAGTAGTCCATTAAGACTACTAAATTTTGTATTTCATCTCATAACTTCAAAATATTGAGGTTTAACTGATTTAGACCAATATGTAATATAACCTAAACACTTTTTTATAATTTTTAAACAAAATTCTCTCTTGATTTTTCACTTCTTTCAACGAATTTTTTCATTCTAAATTTATGATCATCCTCATTTTAGTTAGCTAACAATTTTAGTTAACAATGTTAGTTAACTATCAAGTTGACCAATTTTTGATCATTAAGTATTGCTAAGTACTCATGCACAAATGATTATCTGATTCATTTTCCTTAAAATATATTAAAGATTATTAATATTAAAATAATTTGTGGTTTGATGTAATAAAATTTTGCCTCATATCTTTTGAATTTGTTAAATAGCCGATCTGACTATTCCATCTGTACGTATTCATAACTATAATATATTTCATTACACTTAAATAAAATGAGAAAATTCGATCAAAGCCAATCATTCAGTTAACCTTTTGAATTAAAGGTTCACTATTCAATGCATGGATATGAATTGCAATCTTATTCAAAATTTGCTCATCATGAAAGACTGCTATTATTTATCACACGTCATTCACTTATTTTGAAACATTGAATCAATTGAATCTTTCTTATAATCTATGAAGATCATACAGAATATAATCTAATGATTAACCGAAGAATGGTGATTGTAGATAATACCATTCTCGAAATATTACCGCTCAAAGTTTTTGGGTTAATGGCCAAAATCAAGAGAGCGGTTGATACATCGAAAAAAATATTCAATCCATGATTTTTACATACAATTTTTATGGACGAATAATGAGTTTCAGGTCTCTAACTTTCCCGATCACAGAAAGAGGTCGGTTTAAAAGAAAATCGAACTGATCTGTTTTACAGAAAACAGAGAATTTTATTTCTAAAAATAAGTACATTGTCTGGTTGATCATTAAAATTTATAAATTGAGATGAAGTCTCATTAAAATATCTGGTCTCACAAATGTACAAAAGGTAATCGAAGTTACAACTTTGGACTCGATTTTCCTGAAAACTATTGATAAGAAATGGACAAAGATTACAACTCTACAAGCCTACGAAGTCCATACTCTTCATACGAAATAGATTCAATAATAAACTCAAATTTATAACTAATAACTAATGATATTTGTATTTGAGATGTTCAGGGGTTCAAAAATAGGTGAAATTTCAATTCGATATCATCAAGAATTATACTTTTCGAATGTTGAACAATTCAAAATTTTATCCTTTTTACAAATCAAAATTTTACAGAAATAATGTTTGGATCTGAGATTGATCAGAGGTAACAAACGGCAGATGAAGCTAAAGGATGAGTATATAAAAGTTGGACTCAATTTAGTATAGCAATTAGCGTTAATAATGTCACAATTAATATTATGATTAACCATTGATACTGATAATTAACTGATGATATTTATATTTGAGATGTTCAGGTGAGACAAATAATGCCAATTCGGTAGGAAAAACAATTGAAACAATGAGATAAATCTGTCAGCATCGCATCAAAATCAATGTCAAATCATAAAAGTACAAGCAAGTTCACGATGACTTAAACTTCAAAATGATATAAAAGCGATGAAAATCGAGAGTAAAATTGTCATAAAATTGTTCCCAGTCTAGTTACAGTTGAATCCAACGTGAAATCAATCTCCATCAAAATGATGCGTTTACTTGTTGTTGCTTCACTCCTCATCCTTCCATCTTTCATCGTCTCCGGTAAGCCATAAATTTCAATTTCTAACATTGAACAATATTTTCACATTTCAATTTCATTTATCATTCATTTCAGGCGATGAAATCGCTAACAGTGGTGCTGTTACTGAAGCAATCCCATTGCTCCTCTGGGCTGCTGCTGACCCTAAAGAGGACTGTCAAGCAGCTAAGATTGACGCAGCAAAGTTTTATCAGTTTACTGAGAAGTATCGAGATGAGTTTCTTAAGTACTACAACTCACTCAACATCATTGGTGCTACCAAGTTTTTAAAGGATCATGCTGATGAATCAGGTACTAAAGGAGTCCATTGGGTTCTTGTTTTCGGTAAGATTCTTGAAAAGAAAGTAACTGGACAAAGTGAGGAAAAGGAACACGGACTTCCATCTCTCGTTGCTTGGGCTGTGAGAAACACTGGACCTGGAACTAAATTGACTTCAGTTAAACGAGAAACTTTAGTCTCTTTCCTTTTGGCCCACAAAACTGATATCTTGAAGTACCAACATGCTGGTGATGTTGATGGTTTAGTCAAGTTCCTTGAATCAACCAAAGCTGAATCAACCTCTACTGATGTCGACTGGAAGACTGTCATCAATAAGCTCAAGGATAACCGACAATTGTTCAAGTCTAAATGTGGTCTTTTCAACCTTCGATTATGTAACAATATCAAAAAATGATCTAATTCAACAATTGTATCAATTACTAGTCTTAAAAATGTGATATTCAATAAATTTATTCTTTAAAACAAATTTCTTTTCTTTTGATTGTCAGGTTAATATATTGAGTATCAAATGTTTATGTAAGACCATTATAAAATCAGTTTCATTAACCGATTAAGAAGCACTCATGGTTTCAAAAGAGATCTCCAAATATTAAATTGAATGCTTTATTTAACTCGAAGAGTTCAAATCCAAGCAAATCTAATTTCAATTCATCAACTGGATCAATTCAAATAAAGTTTATTTAATTTCTGTTTGTAAAACAGTCATAGCGAAACTTAATTTGAGCTTTGGTTGATCTTATTGCACAAAATTGAAAATCATAAAAGCATTTATGTGCCGCAAACAACGAAAATAACATTTTGATTAACTTACAACTTACATCATTAACTTCTCAACTAAAATTATGAAGCGAAAACAAAATTTAAAGTCAATATTGAATCTATTTGGTATGAAGAGTATGGACTTTTGAAAGGTATGAAATTCTCTATAAAAGAATGAAACAATCGAGTTGAACTGCACAAACTGGTTTAAATAACATCTTCGAGTTTTTTGTTCAAGGATTATGAACTAAACCTTTGACTTTAGAGTAAGAGTATGGACTTTGTGGGTCTGTATTAGCATAAAAACTGGAATTTGAAAAATATAAGAGCTTATACATTGAACACTAAACATTTAACATGTTTACCATAACTTATTTCGGGTCAAAACATAAGTAAAGCACAAAAAC